ATTAATATTTATTAAATAACAATGTAATTTTTAATTTTTTAAAAAATTTTTCCAAAAAATTTTGGGTACCACTGTATATATTTGTCAACACTTTTGTTTTGTTATTAAAATAAAACAATATGTGATTTTTTAAAAAATTTTTAAAATTCGACCTAATTAAAACATTTTTATCTGCAATAATTTGAATAAAAAAAAACGAATGTTTTGAAAAATATTATTTTTTTATTAAGGCATTGTATATTGAAAATACTTGTATTTAGGATGGATAAATAAATGATTGTTTGTATATTTTAATATTTATATAAAAAGTTTTTTGAATAAAACATTTTTTTAGCAAGTTATTATTGATAATATCTTGAAAAAGTTAATTATTAAATAAATTATTATTTAGATAAAGCATACAGTATATGATCTTACAATACTGATTATTGAGTTATTTATCATAAAATTATAAAATTGCGCGATGAGATTGATTGCTGGCCATTCGTCAGGCCAAAATTTTCCTACCTGTAGCACAATGAATTCAATTCGATATGATCGTAGCCACGAGAATATTTGCCCATTCCAGAAAATTTGAATTCATCACACGAACAAACTACTTTTGGAATAAGTTCAGGAAAAGAAAGCCCCTTCCACAGTGTCTAACACGATATGCTGTACAGTAATTAAAAATTTTCCAGTAAAAAATAATTATTAATAAACAAAGATGTATTAGGTAAATAAGTGCTAAATGGATAATTTGTGCAAATAAAAACATGATCATTGTACAATCGAATGTACTGTCTACCAAATTTTTATGCATGAGCAGCAAGAAATTCGTTTCGATTAGTACATCTAGGATGCATATAGTAAGCAAATTTTGTGATATCGGGATCCAAAAAATCCTCACACTTCATTTGTCAAAGTCATGGATCATATAATAAATGTAATACAGTAAATAAAACATAATTTATTAAATTGTTTCCCTCACCATTTTTGCGCAGTATTGTTACAAGTTTTAAAAAATGAAAGAGGAACAACTAGCATCTCTATACATAAATAAAATCTTATATGATATTCACATCGGTCGTTCACGGATCGAATTTATATTCATCAGCCACAAATATAACTTGTGTTACTTCACCGTACTTGCTTTTGTATTTGTAATCTCCACTCTCTTCCTGAAGAACTTTCCTGTATTTATGGAATTTATTCGAAGGTGATACAAACCGTATCACGGCTTTTATGGTGAATGAAATCAAGGAGTGGAGTACAGCAAACATGATAGTGACGAAAAGGGAAGAGATGAAGATTCGCGTGTATTTTGAAGAACATCGCCACCAACGGTGAAGCCTTCTTGAGATTGAACCAAGGGAAGAAGAGCATGGTCGGTCATCATCCGCAGACTGGATAGTTGAAATCTTGGAGTTGTGATCCTCATTCGATAACTCGAATTCCCAAGTATTTTCGACCATGTTAGCTGACGAAATTCTGACACCATCAATTTCGATGACCTTGATGATGACAACAATTTTGTGAAGAAGGCTCATTCGGTTGACGTCAGCGTTTACTTCCACCTTGACAAGACCAATGTCAAAATTTTCATCATATTTATTAATGTCTTCTTGTCTAATACCTGCGGGAACGACTCTAGCTTTTATGACCTATATTAAATAAATAAATTGCAATGAGCATAAATTGTTCGAATTTTCCTTTTCAGTTTTCGCCGACCCCATAAAACATACCTGAATGTTCTTTACACCCAATTTCACTGGTATGGAATCCAGTAAAAGGTGATCATCCATCAACTCAAAATTGAATATGACGGCGGATATCCTCTCGGCCAACAAAGTACCTTCGTCGTCAACGAGATCGTCAACGCGTTTAACTGACACCACGAGTCGCCCTGCGGTGTCCTTCAATTTAAGGACCGAGGTAGATGATACATCCGTTATTGGGATTGCTTGTGACAAGGCTGATGATTTGTACCCACGTAAAGTGTCGATCCATGCCGAAAACAATAATGAATACGAGAAGATAATTGGTTAATAGATGAATTTGGTTCAACGAAAAAGATAAAGAAGTTATTGTAATATGTGACTCAAGAACTTAAAATGGGCATTAAAATGACTTACAGAGCAAACAAACGATAAAGAATACAAGGGTGATGGACAAGATTGTATACTGCTTTTTCATTTTACTAAGAACTTTTTTTTCTTCTAAGATTGATTTGAAAAGTCGTATGTTGGGCAAGGGTAGAGATTTGTGCAAAAAGTAATATTCCGGTTGGTGGGTGAATAAAGTTCTGAAGTAGGGACTGATTAAACTTTCCAGAAGTTTGGGTTATTAATCACGATATACAGTACTTTATACGTCAAGGAAAGAAACGTTTGGGTAACAGGTGTTTGATGTTAGTGATTGATATCGACAAATAAAGATGGTAAAAAAGGTCGGATTTGGAGGGAGCGGGTGGATAGGGAATCGATGAAAATATTGAAGTGGAAATGATGAATAATACGAGGCTTTATATTATTTTTGAACAAGTGTAATCTTTAGTGTACACTAAATAAATGATCGGCTGTGTATATTAATGAATACCAAATTCTAACTTCTAACTAGAATTTACTGGTATACACTTGACCAAGATCGTATATAGCTCTGACCAAAGTAACTCGTTTTGGTAAAAGGTAATACTGTACAGAAATTGCGTAACCCTTTATGGTATATACGTAGAACAATTTAATATCATTTTTGAATTGATTAATATACTTTTACCATCACACATACCAGCAGTAAAACAATGCCGCGGCACATGCATAACCCTGTAATCTCGCAGTTCTTGGAACTTTGTACTTCTGCCCAATCAGGTAGAAGAGGAATAAAGATATTGAAGAAAATTTTGATTGAATGTAATGGACAACGAATGATACACTCCAGCCTTTTATTAACAGTGTACAATGCGTCACACGCTGGATAATTAATTCCTTTTGCCATTTGGGCTTTGAAAAACAAAAGTACAATGTGTCTGTTAAATCTATTGAAAGGAAAACTTACGATATCATGAATTGATTCAATCTTAATTAATCGATTAATGTTTGGTCACGATAAAAGAATATAATATCCGCAAAACAATCGATTAATTATATGTTATGTTAAATGAATAAATATTAAAATTTGTTAATTAACGTTGGACACCAGCCACATCGATTCGCATAATTCGCATAATTGGGCTGAATTTTTCCCACACACTTAACTGTTTGTGCACGTGATAGCCTTCCAGCCACAAATGGTTAAAATAAGACTATTCGGCGTCGGGACCGAAACTACAAACTCATGGCCATTGTAGAACTTGCAGCTTTTTTGGCTTTTCTACCTGCCAGCTTTGTAGCTTTTTATGTATGGCTACTTCAAAGTCGTAAGGGAAGCTTGCCTATAACCACTGCCGAAGTTGCTTATGATAAACATAAATTCGGTCATATCCTGAACTGGGACAAGTATCACCTGTATATCCACGGAATTCCTACTTTAATTATCAGTGGCGAATTTCATTATTGGCGTCTTCCAGATAGGTCACGATGGGAAAGCATTCTTAAGAAATATCGTGCTGGGGGATTTAATTGTATCAGAATTTACTTTCACTGGGGCTATCATAGTCCTGATGAAGGAATATACAATTTCAAGGACAACAGGGATATCAATTATTTACTGGATCTATGCGAAGAGCTAAATCTTTATGTTCTTGCGGCGCCAGGCCCGTACATCTGTGCCGAAACTCAAGCTGGCGGATTTCCAATTTGGGTGGTTGAAAAGGTCAAGAAACTGCGTCATGTTTTACACTCCGGCTTCAAGTCATATGA